AAAAAGTAATATAAACATATGACTGTATATCTACAGTTCTAATATTATTATTTTTTTAATATTTTTTTTAATTAAATAAAATAATCCATTTTACACAATATACAGCAGTCTAATGGCAGTGGGGAAGAAACTTTTCCCCTAGAGTGGGAAAAGATAAAAAATAAAATTTATGAACTGCTGATCAGCATAAAAGTTAATAAAAATAAAATAGACTTTATCTAACAGCAACTTGGAAATAGATCAAATTGCATGAAGTACTGTTACATGTACAGTAGGTGTCACTGTTGGGCCATTTCTTTTACTGGGCTGCTGCTAATATCAGTCCACCTGAGATCCAGCACTGGGAGGATAAGCTTCATGACACTTATTCCTTTGTGCTTGACAGGAAGAGATAAAGATATAAATATAATTTGAATGAGTTTTGTTTCTATTCCCATAGAAAGCCCAGTTCAACTGGGATCCAGAGACAGTGGGGATGATCCATGGCTCCTTCTTCTGGGGATACATAGTAACCCAAATCCCTGGAGGGTTCATTTGTCAAAAGTTTGCAGCAAACAGGTCTGTTTATCCTCCCTAATTATTATCTTCTAAGAGTGATCCAGGTGTTTCTAAAGTGACCTTCCTCTGCTCTGTGTCTCTTGCAGAGTTTTTGGCTTTGCTATTGTTGCCACGTCATGCCTGAATATGCTCATCCCTACAGCAGCACGGATGCACTTTGGCTGCGTGATCATTGTCAGGATATTTCAAGGACTGGTGGAGGTACATGAGTCTCCTTAAATGCTGGAAAATGGCTGCACTGGAAAAGTATCAATCATCTTAAACTTTTTTATATTTAATCACAACTACAAAACTTTAATGATAGACTTAAAAGTAAGATATGACAGCTGTGCATTAATATAGCTTCACATTAGCAGGAGAACATTGAAAAGAAACAGGGCTGTAGTGTTTTGGCTCTCTTGGAAAATGTATTTCTTTGACAATGTATTAAAATTGTTCATTAGCCTATTTGTGTATCTGAAAAATTCAAAATATTTTAGAAATGAAAACCTGAAAATGTTTAATTACTCTGAAACCCCCTGCATAACATTTAGCCCAATCACTAATCAATAAAGAGAGTCCAGCAGAAACCTCAGCTAATATCAGTGTTTTTTTTCCCTTTCACAAAATAGTTAATTAATATAGCTTTATGGCCTTTCTTTTTTTGTGAATACAATTAGTTTTAAAAAAATATAAATATAGATTTGAACATTAGTGACAAAAACATCTTGAATCTCCACAGTGATTCAAGATGTTTTTGACAGGAACTGATAATCTGAGGATTGATGGAGCTAAATAAAAGGAGAATCCTGGCAGAAAATCTATAAAATGTTGCAGAAGAATAGACATGTGTGGAGGTTGATCTTCCAGCAGGACAACCCCCCCAAACATCCAACCTGAGATGCAATTGATAGTTTAAAGCAAAAACATCTTTCAGAGTGGTAAAGCGAAAATCCAGAACTACAGTCAGTGAGATATCCTGAATTGCTGATCTTAAATCTAAGGATTATTAAGACAGATGCACCTAAAACGGGGAGTTTTCGGTTTATATGTGTCCTTGCTGTTCATCAATTAGCACAAAGAATCTGCCGCTGACATCCTCACAAAATTTTGTTGTGAACAATGACTCAGCAAAGCTGAATATAATGCATAGCTATTTTATGTTTTTCAACTAAGCAAACTATGCACACTTTTCTCTCCACCTCCTGATAATATAAAACTTTGGCGTTTTCTGTCACTTACAGTGAACAACATATAATGTCTATGACTGGTTTAAATTGACAGGATGTGAAATTATCTAAGAGGTGTGAATACTTTAACAAAGTTCTTTATATATTTTTAGGCCTAAAGCTAACCGTACCAACCTTATCTTGCAGGGCGTTTCATATCCGGCTTGTCATGGTATTTGGGCAAAATGGGCTCCTCCTCTGGAGAGAAGTCGCTTGGCCACAACTGCCTTCTGTGGTGAGTTTAAAACCATTACCTAATAAGGCCACAGCTAGAGATCAGACCACTTCTTCTGACTGCAACCAAAAAAAAAATCAACAAAAAAAAAAAGGAACAGGTGTTTTTATAATACCATAACCACACGTGAGAGCTAGCTGTTGCCTGACGCTTTTAAAACCTAAACAAGAACTTTATGTATATATGGACTTTAACAGATTCTAAATCAATAATTAAAATCCAAATTAAAACACCTGTTTCTTCTCTCCCAGGCTCTTATGCAGGTGCTGTGATTGCCATGCCTTTAGCTGGAATACTTGTCCAGTACTCAGGATGGTCTTCAGTCTTCTATGTCTACGGTAAAAGACCTTTTGACCTTTACACTGCCAGCTCATGTTAGGGGCTGTGCAACCTACATGCATTTTAAAATCTCCCTGAAACATTGGTTGAAACTCACCAGACATGTGTTTAAAGGTGAATTGATCTGTTTCCTTGGGCCGTTAAAATAATATTATTTTGATTTCATGTTATTGGCATCTTATCTGTTTGTGTCCACTCTTTTCTCTGCTGTAGTGTCTTGTGTAATGTCAGGGCTGTCAACTCTCACCTATTGGGAGTGAGACTCCCCCACCTCAGTCTTCACACGCTCTCACTCCATATTCCCAATTTCTCACTCTAAAAAATTACAGACATTGAAACTCAACTCTGCTCCACTTATTTATGTATAAAAATACCATAGTGCTAACCTTAGTGCTAACACATAAGGATTGCGAGGTTCATATCCAGTCCGTATTCCCACCTATTCACTGTGCTAGATATTGAAAAAAGACTGTTGTTATGAGGTATTTCATTTTAATTTTTATCTTATATCATCTGGGCTAGGATAATTATCTTTGTAATTTATTGAAAAATTTAAGTAATCTAGTACTTGAGTAAATATGAATAAAAAATAAAGCAGCTAGCTGAAATTATTGGTGTGGAGACTGAGTGTAGGATCAGATCTAATGGTTTGTTTTCTCTTTACCTGGTGCTTTTTTTAGTCCAAGTTTTAGTCCATATTAAATAATTATTGCTCATCATTTAGGAGTAATTAAACCAACACAAATATTTTAATTCTCAAAGCTTCCAGGTTTGCCTCTCAAACCCATAGGAGCTCCACAAAAAGAAAAAGAACCATTGCATTTTATTTTTCAAAAGATCAGCCACCCAAGAAAAGACTAATCGCATTTAGAGAGGATGTGCAGAACAGCTCAGTTATCCTGGATTCACAGAGGAGAAACCACAGGAATGTTCTTCTTTTATTATTACTGATCTTATTCATTTATCTTTATTTTGGTCAATTGAATATGCTTAAAAACATAATTTCCATCACACTTTTCAAATGAAACACCCAGAGAAGTGCGGCCTCCTGTCACGGTGAGCTTTTATAAAATCTAAAGCCTCCTAGAAGGTCTGAATTGTTTAGCCATTTTGTCAATTGTAACATCGATTGTAACTAATAACATAATGAATGAAGCTTTTTAACCCTTAGCCTATTACCAAATATTCATACACAGTGTAGTTTGCATAGGTTTCAATTGCACCGGTTCCTGTATCAGGGCCAGTAATCCAGTAATAGCTTATTAGTTCCCCTTTGTTTAATTTACATGAACTAGATAGAATAATTAATGAGCACAGTTTTGAAATTCTTAAAATATATTTAAGATGCAAGTATTTAAGTAGGGCTCATTCTGCTTTACTTCAATTCTCTAAAAATCACCAGAATGTAGAAAATAATGTATATTGTGAAAAAAATGTTAACTACAGATCACTTATTGTTACTCAGTAACATTTACTGTGCTATAAAAATTCCACATTTTGCGAATTTGATTCAGTTAAATTCTCTGAAAACCCTGACAGGATTTCCTGTCCAAACTATTTCAAAATCTCACCCCAAGGTTTGGCGAAAGGTTGGCAGCCTTGTAATGTTCATTGTTTTTACCTGCCTTAGGACAGTGGATGCAAATTAGCTGCTGAGCTAATTCTGGCATGTGCATTGTCCTAATTCAAATAAATAAATAAATAAATATATATGTGTTTACAGAAAGTAAAATGAAGGCCTCATTTCAGGAAACAGTTTAGCACCATGCAGGCTGCAAAGTAAAATGGCTCATGCACTGTGAAACTAAACGGACAGAAAAACCACAGCCTTTCCTGTCTGTAAATGTTGGTATACACATAATGAACTTTTGGTATTCAGTATGCAATACAGTAAGTAAGTACTTAAAAAAAAAAAAAACATTTGCATTATTCTTTTGTCTTTTTTCATAAATATTAAATGGAAAAATCTTTGGACCCCTGAGTTCAAATGTAAATTCCTCAAGAGAGAAAACACATACCTACACTGATTGCTTTCTTTTAACTTTTTTTCCACGTGCAGTTTTCACAGCGACTGTCTTTTCTTCTCCTTCCAGGAAGTTTTGGTGTGATGTGGTACTGCTTCTGGGTCCTGGTTTCGTACGAGAGTCCTGCGGCTCACCCCACCATCACAGAAGAGGAGAGGATCTATATAGAGGAGAGCATCGGCGAGTCAGCTCAGCATACAGTAACGGTCAGTGGAGGTGCAGATGCAATGATTAATTTGATGGCAATCCAGAAGCTTTAAATAAAATATCTCACAGTAATTAGAAAAGTTTATTTGGACACTATGACTGTATGGTATAAAAAAAAAAAGCAGATGGACATGGTGAGTCAGTTAAACACAAAAACTTTGCTGTCAACAGATTTAGAAACTCTATCTGTGGTCACCTCTGATGGCTGCATTCAACCAAAAAAAGTTTCCACTACCGCACCCTCCAACTGATCGCCATTCTAGTTTCTGTTGTTTTTTTCCTCCCCTTATTATAATATTCACATCTGATTATAGTCAATGTTTTTATTTATGTAAATTAAAATAACTCAAGTTGTAAACCCCCGCTGTTTGTTTTGCAGAAGTTTAACACACCATGGAGAGCCTTCTTCACCTCTATGCCAGTGTACGCCATCATTGTTGCTAATTTTTGCAGAAGCTGGACTTTCTATTTGCTTCTCATCAGCCAGCCTGCATACTTTGAGGAAGTGTTTGGGTTTGAAATAAGCAAGGTAATTCACCTTCAATGCACATCGCCTTGCTAAGGTATTCATACCGCTAAAACCTCTCTGCACGTTGAATCACGTTTCAACCACACATTTAAATGTATTATGCTGAATTTTATTTGACATACCAACACTTCATAGAAATGGAGTACATTTATCATGGTATTTTAAAAAATAAAAACTAAAAGAAAATAAAACTCAATTCTTTCAGAGGTTTATGAGACCTCTACATGGCTTGTGGCAAACTGAAAACCACGACTCTCTGTGGCTTTCTTTCTGCCACTTTTCAGTGAGCCAAATTTGAGAGCACACATAGAAGTTATAATATCAATAAACTCCTTAACCTGAGTTGTAGACATTTGCAGCTCCTCCAGAGAGAGTCGATTATCTGATTAATGCTCTTCTTGTCCAGCCTCTTAGCTTAGTTGGACATCCATTTCTTGGAAGGTATGCAGTTGGCCCATCCTCTATACATGTTTCCACCTAACCCTGCGTCTCCACTGAGTGTTACCTGACATGTCTCTAGTGTTCCTTGGTTTTCATGACCCTAGCTCTCTAAAGTTCTGCAGATAATCTCTAAGGCCTTTGCAAAAACCAAAACAAAAATCATAAAAAAAACCCTTTTCTTTCTTCTTTTTACGATTATGGAAAACTTTTGCTTGATCTGGCACATAAAATCTAAATAAAAGAGAGCAGTGTGGATTTTGAATCTGAAAGAAAAATCAGAGGGTATGAATACTTTTAAAGGCATAAAATCTGCTATCGCTTTGTTCACTGTCTGTTTTCCTTCAAATGTTCTTATAAGGAGGTGATAACGGTTGTTGTTTATTAGCAATGATGGGTCCATATTCTCACGTGCATTTAGGTGGGAATACTATCTGCGCTTCCTCATCTGGTAATGACCATCATTGTGCCTATTGGAGGCCAAATCGCTGATTATCTGCGTTCTAATCAGATCATGACGACCACAAATGTCAGAAAGATGATGAACTGTGGAGGTAAGTGTGAAATAGAAGGAGAATGAGCTTATGCGAAATCAAAAGATGCGTTTTTTTGGATATGAATTTTAAAATTTTGATTCTAAACTGGCAAACTCCAATTTTTTTTATTTTAAACAAGGTTGTTTTACTTAAAGGCTTTCAGGAACTTTTATTACCCTGCTTTGACTTGGCCTTGGATGAGTTTCATTACTCAGTGAATTTTCAAAACACACCCTTCCGTAAAAAGAATCAGTCTAATTACAGAGCAAATTTGTGTGAGCCCTGGTGTGAAAACACCACTGCATGCATGAGATGAATGATGACTAAGTGTTAGTCAGGAGCTCTGCCTCTATCGGCTATTTTTAAGCTGCAGAAAAGTATTGATACAAGGGTCAAATGAGGAAACATTCAGTACATGCATGCAAAGTAGAAAAATAAGAAAAACTCCAGTCAACATTGAAGCAACATTATAAGCAAAGAAAATTATTTTTTTAATTTAAGAGAACAGTCTGCATTTAGACTTGCTGTTGTTGACTCTGTCTTCTGGTCTTTTTCAGGGTTTGGGATGGAGGCCACCCTCCTGCTGGTGGTTGGCTTCTCGCACACAAAGGGCGTAGCCATCTCGTTCCTGGTGCTGGCTGTTGGGTTCTCTGGTTTTGCCATTTCAGGTAAAGCACCGTTAAGCCTTTCATTTGCAGACAAGAGTTATGCATTATTTTATCATCATGACAACAGTAATTTTCTCATTCCTCATAAGGTTTCAATGTCAACCACCTTGACATTGCACCTCGATATGCTAGTATCCTCATGGGTATATCCAACGGTGTGGGCACTCTGTCCGGCATGGTTTGCCCACTTATAGTCGGTGCAATGACAAAAAATAAGGTGAGAGATGATCTTGAATCTGTGTGTATTTGTTCTTTTTACCGTTGAGGTCTGCATTTTTAATTTGTGGAACAGATGCTTCTGACTGATGTTGTAAATATACAGTTCTTGTCAAATGTTACAGACATGTATCATGGAAATAAATTAATAAATTAAATAATCCTTTAATGACACATTTGAATCGATCTTTTTCAACTGTGGAAAATCAAAACACAGTGAAAAACTGTACCTCCACCCCCTCAATAATTTTGATAAGCATCCCTTAACCCATTGCACATGGCCTTTTCTAGCACATTTGACTGCAATATTCATCAGGAATGGAAGGTCTCTTTTACAGTGCTTGGTTTCCTGGAGTTTTTAATTCTGGACCCTTTAGAGGCTGAATGTCAGCCCTGCTACTAATGCAGTTAAATATATTATAGCTACGGCAACGTTCACTGTACCCGTACCTTATCTGACGCNGCATCGGGCCTCGGGAGCAGCAGTGTCAGCAGAGACTCCCAGACTTCCCTTTCTCCAGCCACCTCCTCCAGCAAGGGGCGGATTTTAGAGCCATCTTAGCTGGCCTCTCGATGTGGAGGAGAAGCAGCTTTACTGTAAGCCTCTCCCAGATGGCCAAACTCCTCACCCCATCTCTAAGGGCGTGCCCAGCCACCCTGCAGAGGAAGCTCCTCCAACCCGAAAGGGTTAGACGAGCCATTTGTCCGGTTGAGAACCATGGCCTTGGACTTGGAGAAGCTGGTTTTTATCCCTGCCGCTTTGCACTCACCTGAAAACCTCCATGGTGCTGTATGTCTTGGCAGGAGGGGGGCCTATAGAACCATGTTATCTACCAAAATTCCAGGACCAAACTCCTGCTCCACTGGTAGAGGGACTGACTCCATACTCCTGGACTAACCCCCACAGGGTACCACGAGGGACATGGTCAGATGTTTTCTGCTGGTCCACAAAAAATATTTGGACTGCTCGGGCAAATTCTTTTGAACCCAGTGGCACCCTGCAGAGGTTATTGAACTTTTCTAGTGTTCCGCAGCCAGGACAAAAACCGCACTGCTGCTCCTGAAGCTGAGGCTCAACAAAAAGCCGCACTGTCTTCTCCAGCACCCTGGCAACAAATAGAGACCAGAGATACTCAGGACTGATCTCATCCAATCCCAAAGCCTCAACAATGTAAAGTTTTTTTGACCACTTCAATGACTTCAGCAGTGACAGATATCATGGCCAGTCCGATTAGCCACTCAACTTGAACTCTCAATATACTTTTCAACTGTATTTTTCTTAAAATACTATCTGGAATGTTAAACAAATTAACATATTCAAGATGTCAGAAAACCCCCGGAGAGCAGACAATAAGAAAAGCATTAAGACACTAAGGAAGGGGAGAAAAAGAAAATGTAGTTTGAGGAAAAGTGCAAGCTATTGGTTAAGGATAGACTTTTAAATTGACCTAGGGGAGAATGTCATGTACTGCAATGACTGAAACGATTCAATTCAATTCAGTTTATTTTTATAGCGCACCTTCACAACACATGTCATCTCAAGACACTTTTAACTGATTTCTCAATCTCATGCAGAATTTTGTTCTGCTTTTTAATTAAGTTTTGAAAAAGACAGTGTTCCTTATAATTATTCTTTCAGTTTTGTTTCTATATTTAAAAGGAATCTTCTATACTTTACTGCACCACTTTTAATATGTGATAAGAAACCACACAAACCCCCTAATCTATGTTAATGTAAAACTCTATTTAACTCCTTCTTTTGAGTGACAGCCAGAGCCAAAAGTGGTTTCTGACATGCCATTCTTGAAAAATGGTATATGCAAGTTAGGAACTGGTTTATGCCAGTTGGAAATGGGATTATGCCAGTTGCTAACCGGCATATGCCAGCTCTAGGTGCTGCTGTTTTTTTGTTCCCAAACATACAATTTTGTTTTTATTTTATCTGTTGGGGACAAACTGGGTCAGATGGTTGAAAATTGCACTTAGTTTTTTCTGATCCAATAAAAGGATTTGGAATATTAAAAGCAAATTAACCCTTATCTTCTGAAAAGAAGCTGAACTTAAAAATAAACCTAAATGTCTGAATCCAATTTTTCTAATTCAATGAGGATCTACTGCTGTAAGAAGAATGGTTAAAATAAACTAGTGAGAAGTGAGAAACACCCATGACCTTATGCCGTAATTTAACAGAAACTGACTTACTATATGTATCTGCCCAAGTTACATTAAACTGCTTGTTCAGGAAAATAATAACAAAGCAGAAAGGTCTCTTCCCCTAAAGGACATTTTTTCTTTATCAACTTCAGAGGTCACACAAGGCCAAAGGAGGAACCGACATGTATTTACATTGAAGAGAATAGTTATTATGCAAACAGATGGGCTTCAGTTTTCTTTTGAACAACAGTTTGAAAATTGTGAATCTTATTTCTGCCAAGTATGTTGATTTTTATTTACTGACACTCTGTTTTGGGTAATTTTTCTTTTGTTTTTAATCAGACGCGGGAGGAGTGGCAGGGTGTTTTTCTGATTGCCTCGCTCGTTCATTATGGAGGTGTTATATTCTATGGTGAGTGTATTTTATTCTTTAGTGATTTTTATGGAAATCAATTTGGGAAAATGTTGTTCTGTTTGTCAGAGCAGTTTTATGGCTGTTACTAAACCCCTTCATTGATAAACTGACTGAATTTCTACGGCCCATGCAGGGATCTTTGCCTCAGGAGAGAAACAAGCCTGGGCCGAACCAGAGGAGCTCAGCGTTGAGAAGTGCGGCATCCTGGATGAAGACGAGCTTGCAAATGAGACAGAGGAACTGTATCGTACAAGTGGTGGAGTTGGTTATGGAGCCACAAACCAGGTGTCAGATCCCAACGGAGGAGGTGGGGGCTGGGTTTCAGACTGGGACAAAACTGAAGAGTACGTCCAACCAGCTGGAACCAATAATTATCTTTATGGAGGAGAGGGCAACCGAGACTTCTCATAGAACCAGCAGATGTTTAGTTCATCCTAACAGAGAAGCACAAACACTTTATCACCAATGTGGAATCTCACTGTGAAGGAACTTGGACATCATTGAAGTGGACTTCTCAGGAAGTTTGAAAGTTGAATTTATTTCAAAAAGACATTTAAAGCGAAGACAATAGTCCATAAAATGTGTTTGTGTGATGAAACAGCAGCCTTTTTGCAAAGTTTTGTTGGAATCAGGCTTTTTTTTTTCTTTAGGCCTGATGAGGCATCCATCTTTAAAAGGTAGACGGGCCCATATTTTCCGTCATGACTTAGTATTGATTTGTTTTATTCATTTAAATTTGTTTTCTTGTAGATCGTATTTTTTTTTAATGTACTTATATGTCAGTCTGCTTCAAAACAGCTTGGTTAGAAACAGCCCAATTCCAGTTATATTGCTAACCCCTACCTGAGTCAAAATGGACTGATTAAGGCCTGGGTTGATTTTTAAACCACAAGGTTGATTAATGCGTTTGACCATGTGTAAGGGATTAGGTTTTTATAATCTTAGATTAGGTCCAGCTGTCAAGAGGTTGGTTATACCGTACTAGTCCATCACAGGTTTAGTGAAAGCTCACAGCAAACATAAACATTCACATTGCACACATACCAAGATATATTCCTCTAGCATGCATGTTTTTAGATTGTATACTATTACAGAATCTAGATATGCACAGTAAGAAAATGACAACTCCTCACAGAAAGACCCCAGATTGGATCCTTAAGAAAATAAAAACAGAAATATTGTAATATGAGCCAATTCTTTCTCAAGACATACCCTATTTTGAACCCATGCATGGCCATTTTAACCCCTCATACTTCCCTTTCATAACTGTACATACAAACTATTTCAGCCACATACTTCCTGTGTCTAGGTTTTCAAAGATTTGTGGAGATAAATGGTTAAAATGTTATTATGATATCTCCCTAATTAACAGTGTAGTAAAGTATAAGTAGAAAATTTTAATTAGGTTGAAATCATTGGGTGTCTTTGTGGGAACAAAAGGAAATGTATCTAAAACACAAAAGCACAGAAGGAAAATTACCAAAACCTCTATAAATAAATATTTCTTGATGATAAACTTCAGCAATGTATAAATATTACCTGGATACATTCATTCTTAACATTATTTTTTTATGAATACAGCTAGCACTAGCTTGTGCTGACTAATTAAAAGGTTAATTTTAGTTAAAGGGATTGAACTCCTCCGATAAGAAGTCAATAAAAAACCTACGAATGTAAAGATTATTACACATCATAGTTTTACCATCCTATCATCCTAAATATGGAATATGCAGCTATGAGGTTAGTCAGAAGTAGCAACATGCTTTGGTAAACATAAGGAAAAATCTCTTCTTCTGAGAACAACAACATAGAAAAAAAAACAACAAATAGCCAATTGAATAAAAATAAATTTCTAGTCATTCTATGCTACAGATTAAAACAAATTAGATAGGAAATACAATTAATTAAATAAGTAGAAGGGATGTTCAGCGACATCATCTAAATACTAAACTCAGTCTCTATGGCAACTTGCCCTGGCAACTCGCCTCACTACGGTCTAGTAAAGTACTTTTCTTACCAATATTTTAAGCATTACAAGTAACAGTGCTTCTTTAACAAAAAGATGGATACCATTGGAGTCCCCCAACACAGTCAGAGGCTATTTAAAAAAAAATCCACCATTGATCTTATATTGCTAATGTGCCACAGCTTCCCCATTAAAGAAGATTCCTGTGAAAATGTAGAAAGAGACCAGAAACATCATGAAACAAGTTTTTCTAAATTTTTCAAATCAGACCATTTTTTAGAAAGGACACATGCCATTGTTGGATACACAAACTTTTAGTTTTCCACAAGAAACTGTTGTTGTGTGGATAGAGTATCAGTAGATGACGTCATGATGTTGCAGCTCAACGTGGTTGTCTATTAATTCTGCTCTGCATCTGGTCATTAAATTAACCACTCCAAGTCTTTGCTCCTCCACGTCGAAAGTAGCCGGCTGAGGTGGCTGAGGCATCTGTTCTGGATACCTCCTGGTTCGCCTCCCTCAGGACGTGTTCCAGGCATGTCCTATTGGGAGGAGGCTTTGTGGAAGGCCCAGGACACACTGGAGAAACTATATCTCTGAGGTGGCCTGGTGTCGCCTTCGGGTCCCTCCAGAGCAGCTGGAGGAGGTGTTTGTGCATCAGGAAGTCTGGGCATCTCTGCTTAGACTGCTGTGACCCGGCCCCAGTTAAAGTAAATGGTTTGGTCCACAGTAGGGTGATGTACTGTAGATCAGCCATGCATCAATCTTTAGCTATCATCAGGAACTCAGATTTTATCCTTATTTAATCATATCAGTGAAGTGTTTTTTCTTCTTGCTTTTTTAAGCAAATGAAAACCTCTACTAACTGGATGACCATTTGGGGCGATCAAGTGTCCTAATCTTTAATTGTTTTTAAATCAACTGCCCCAAAGAGTGATCGTCGCAAAAAAAAGGCGTAAAATTTAGATGCTTTTTTTTTTGCATAGCAAAAATTTTAATGAATTACATGTTAATTTGACAATTTTATTTGTAGCCTGTATGTAGCTTCACAATACATTAAAATAATTTATAATAAAGAAAAACAAACTGAACGTGCTTAAGCATGTGAATACAAAGGGGTTTTTTAATTCTACAAAATGATAATGCATATTTACCCATAGCCCACAATGCCTAAAAGGGTTTTAAATTGAATAATGGCATTCATACTCTGTGTGTAACCCTGAATAAAATAGTTTATATTGACTATGTGGACAATCAATGATCAGTGTGTAAAAAAAACAATCAGGTTGTGCTAATTACTTAGCAGCTAAATGGCTAAAGTTTGCTTAAGTGTACAAGCTAGTGATGTATTTGGAACTAAAGTTGTTAAAATAACCCACTGACATTTATATAGTAGAGCAGTTTTATAGCAACATTTTCATTATTTTATCCTATAGAAGAGGTTTAAGTCAAATGGGCAGATGATTTTACACCTGTAATTCAAAATGACCATCTTCTGGTTTCTTATTTAAACCAACAAACTGTATTCATTTATGTTTATAGAGATATAACTTCTATCCCAAATGCCTAAAGCCAGCGTTTGTGTTAAATACATAACCAAGCAGCTTTTTATATGGGCTTCTCTTTCTGATGAACATTTAATGATGCTGATTCAAAAATTTTTGTTTTTCCACAACTGATTTTTTAGCAGTCCCACAAAAAATACAGTTAATCTTGTGCTCTTTGAGAAAAAGCATTGTGCCAATACAACAAAAATAATGACTCTCCGGTATTGATTTACATATTCTAAGAGGAAGTGAACAGCTGCAAATTCTTTTTGTTCAGTTTTTTGTAAAAAGAAGAGAAAAATAAGCAGAGAGGTCTCTGGCCTTTTTGACTAGAGGTGAAACACAAGAAAGAATGTTATCATTTAGCATAATGACATAATAATACTTGTCAGAGTTTAGGATCTTTACAATATGAATTTCTGTTTCTTTTGCTTTATAGGATTTTGTGAAATATTGTTGATTTATTTTAATTTATTGATCAGCAGCTTTGTTTGGTATCTTGGTATAAGCAGAACTACTAACCACAATTGATATAAACACAAGCTTAACTTATCTCTGTCTCAGAGCTAAAAAAAAAGCTCTCAAGTTTAATTTGTTTAAAGAAGCATCGCCTCGTACCTGAGCACATATTTTCTATTTCTATCAGCATGGGCCGAAATATAGGTTAGATCCTATAATGAGTTGCAAAATCATTAACTTAGATCACAGGATGGTATAGCTGTACTGAGTGACATGAAAAGCTTAGAACTTCTATTTTATCTTTTGTGTTTTTTTTTCATTGTTTTATTTCAATTTTCACATTGAATTGTGCAAGAAAAGAAGAACTGTACATGTGGATCTATTGTATAATAAAATGTAGAAGTGTTTATTTTTGTTCAGTTATCAGAACTTTTTGTTGATTGATGCTGAATAGCTGTTTCTGTCAGCTGTTACAGGCGTTGCTAACGATTGCTTTCTGTACATGCATGTGTGGAGCCAGTTTTTCTATTTTAGAGTGGAAGAAGACGAAAGACATGAAGTAAAATGGGGAAGGAAAACTGTGAAAAGATGAAGAAGAACATTGACATCACCATTGATCAGAGCAGCTGTCAAAATGTTTTACTTCATTTCTATTCCTATGATTTTAACTGTTTTAGGGGGATGACAAAGAAAGTACCAGAGACCAGTGTTTGCTGTTTATAGATAGATTAAGGTAATGATCCGTCCCCTTCACTTTTCTCTCATTTACAACAAAGACATTTTTTTTAAACTTTTGGTACGTATGACACCCACAGTTGTGGAGTGCAACCAATTCCTCTCATTTACTAATAATTTTTCATAACGTGTGTTAAGCTGCTAGCTTTAGGCTGAACAAATAGCTAAACCTGCCGACACCAGTCAGCTTTATATCTGTGTCATTTTATAAGGAGTGGAAGAGCAAGAAAACATTTGCATTATCCTGCACTTGTAAATTGCATGCAACTTTTGCAGAGACTTTTGCTGTTTCTCTTTACTTATAGGCCAAATTATCAAAAATCAACACGTTGTCAACAATGTCATTATCAACAGTATGATAATTCCAATCATAAATAAATATATATATGTATATATTAGGGATGGGACGATTTATGAAAACCGTCCGAACCGTTCGGTTCGACTGTCTCGGTTCAGTTCGCGTGTGTTTCGTTCGGTTCATGCGCTGCTCCTTTTTCTCATAGGCGAAGCGTTTACACTCCAGAGCAGAAGGTGGCGGTACTGCGACCAAAGCCAACCACCAGTAGTAAACAAGAAGAAGAAGAATCGAAGCAGCTTAGCTGGGTGTAGCAGGGAAAAAAATCAGTTGTTGTGGAGAATTGTGTCAGAATGGCGAGTGGGAAAGAACAGGAGTTGGAAGACGCGCCAGCAGCACTTTATAGGTCTGCTGTATGGGACCACTTTGCATTTAGAGTGACCTACGATGACGGCGGAAAGAAAGTTGTGGATAAAAGTGCAACAGTGTGCAAGCACTGTGCAACACGTTTTGTTTATGCTAACAGCAACATGACCAACATGTCATGCTAACCCCGAAACCCCTCATACTCCGTCAGCAACCCCCGCTCTGCCCCGCTGCGCTCCAGGCCGGCTGCTCAAAGCAAAGCCTGCAGCCCCCACTGTGGCTCCTGTCCGCTCCCCTTGGAGTCCCTTGGAGATCGTAGAGAGCATGCGCGAGATGATTAAATTCAAAGCAGCAAAACCTGCGGAAATGATCCACGAAACCGTGAATCGAACCGAACCGTGGATTTTGTGAACCGTTCCACCCCTAATATATATATATATATATATCCAGTACAGATCAAAAGTTTGGACACACCTTCTCATTCAAAGGTATCAAAACTATGAATTAACACACGTGGAATTATACGCTTAACAAAAATGTGTGAAACAACTGAAACTATGCCTTATATTGTAGGTTCTTCAAAGTAGCCGCCTTTTTTCTTTGATTACTGCTTCCCACACTCTTGGCATTCTCTAGATGAGCTTCAAGAGGTAGTCCAGTCTAGGACCTGCCCCCCTCATTGGAGGTATATGGCCGTAGCCACTTTCCTTGTCACCTCTTTGTTTGCCATTTGTGTATGGGATTCTGAAGTACTTGTAGCTGTCCTAAATGTTTGCTATTGTTCCTTCTGGGAGTGAGACCCCCTCTGTGTGGACTACCTTCCCTCTCTTAGTCACCATCCGACCACACTTCTCTAGTCTGAATGACATCCCAATGTCTGTGCTGTAAATCCGGGTGGTATGGATCAGTGAGTCGATGCCTCGCTCATTCTTAGCGAGTATGCGGCATTGAGTCATAGGCTTTCTTGAATCAAACCAGGTAGTGCTCAGGTTAGTGTTTCGGGTTCTGCAGTAACAAGCGCCTGTTCTGTCTACCAGGAGCTGATGTTTGGCACCTCTGGTATTTTTCAGCTTAAGCTCATTGTTATTTGCAGTAGCCATTGCACCTCTCTCAATAGCTCTTCGATCTAACTCCTTCATTACTGGAATACTAAGAAATGGTGTTAAGTTAAAGGTCTCTCTACCTGTATATATGCTGATGACCTTTTGTTATATGTCTGATCTTCCTTTGTCTGTCCCTGCTGCTTTTGACACTCTTAAAAACTTTGGACAGATATCTGGATACACACTGAACCTAGATAAGAGTGAGCTATTTCCCATAAATACAGCTGCCAGAACTTATCCTTTACACCAGCGCTCCCCAACCACCGGGCCACAGACCGGTACCGGTCCGTCGGTCATTTGGTACCGGGCCGCACAGAAAAAAGTATATATATAAAATTTATCGACGATTAGAGTCTGAGTGATGTTTTATTTTGAAAAATATAAAAAATTGCGGTATTCTCTCCCAATTACATCAGTCAGTGCATCTTTGCCTCTTGACACAGGTTAGTTCAGTTCAAGACTCATCCTATCTATGACATCCTATCTTTGTGTAGCATGATTTTTTGCGGTTACAGCGACCAAAACAAAGCTACGGAGCAGACTGGACATTAGGAGCACTCTTCCTGTGTCATTGTCTCCGGCTTGTTAAATTTTTTTTTCTTGATCGTATTTACCCCCCCAACCCCCGGCCGTGCCGTGAAAATATTGTCTGACATATAACGGTCCGTGGTGCAAAAAAGGTTGGGGACCGCTGCTTTACACAGTTTGCCCTTCAGTGTTTCTCAGTAATGTTACCTTGTTCAAGTCACACGTAAATTTGAAGATCTGTATAAGGCTAACATTGTTCCTTTATCTACTTGTACCCAGCCTGATTTTGAGCGCTGGTCACTACTTAATTTATCTGCAACAGGCTGTGTCAATTCTGTCAAAATGAATATACTTCCAAGATTTGTTTACCTCTTTCAGTGCATACTACTTTTTCTTCCACAGTCTTTTTTTTTTTTTTTTGCAAACTAGATAGCTTGACTTTAGAATTTGTTTGGAACAAAAAGACCCATAGGATGCCTAAACAACATTTCCAAAGACCTAAACCTCTTTGGGGGCCAGCATGACCAAACCTTAGATTCTACCACTGGGCTTCAAATATTAGGATTCTTGAATATTTGCTTCAAATGAGAACGTTTGACCCCTGTCCATAGTGGTTGGCTATGGAAGCGAGCTCTACTCATCCAGTGTGTCTTGGTGCTCTGGTTAACTGACACATTCAGTTCTCTATGAGTCCCTACAATAAAAACGCTATCATGCAAACCCTCACTGAGAATCTGGATTCGGTTTAAACGGTACTTTGACCTATAAACCTTATCTACTCATGCCCCGCTTGCAGCCAACCATGCTTTTCCTCCTTCCCTTTTG